TTATAAAAAGCAATTTGTGTTCGTTAAGCTCATTTTGTTTTCATAATGAATTCTTCTCGTGTAATTTTTTAATTTAGTGTCTTTTTAAGAGCCAATATTACATTGTCTAATTAAGTTTGGCTTTATATTGATTACTTTAATAGAAGGTTATTTAATTTTGTACACCTTTTTCGGATATTTTTAACAGAACGCCTACCAGAATTTAAACCATAGTTTAGTTTTGCAGTACTTATAAATATAAGGTTCAAAAGATTAACTTTGGTTTCTTAAACTACGCGTTACATACCGTAGACTGCTTTTAAAATGGCGTCTCAGCTTATTTTAACCATAGATACGGACGAATACTTTGACGCCTAAATTGAGGGTATAATTTTTGTTGTTTCCTTTTTTTACTTTCGTTTTATTTTATAGTTTAGTTGTAGTTAATTTTAAGTTGTAAATATTTTAACCTACATACAGTATATCAATAGTTTAACTTTGAATAGATTGGTGAAAACTCGAAAAGAAAGAAAATATTTGTTACCACAATATTCTTACAAATCAAGTCCCTTGAATTTACTACAACCTCAACTGATCTAAAATACAAAACCTTTACCGAAATATACCTTCCATCAACCACAAGTATAATGAACTAAATAAAGTATAGAAACAGTTGCAAATTACGTAAATAAGTCAAAGACAGAGACTCGGTAGTAGGTAGAAAGTTTACGTGACGTACCGAGAGTTTTCGAGTCTTACCGAAAGGATTCGAACTTGAAGAAACAAACAGCTGCGTATGAAGTAGACACAGGACTTAGTTTCCAACTCTTTGATTGTAATGCCGAGGCCAGGAAAGGGTTTTAAAATACGAAGGTAAATTTATTTCGTTTTGAGTTTAAAACCAAATTATTAATACTTTTGAACTACAATTTTGTAAGTATTTCTTTAGTTAGGAACAATACATATTATGTTTATAGGAGAATTTCTGTTTCTTGAAGACGTATTTCTAAAACTACCTAATTTGTTTATTGTCTGTCTACTTTAGAATTTAAAGATTAATTGAAGAAATTTGTACAAACCTTTCATAGATCTATTTATTACTTCATTTAAAATATTAGAATTACTGTTCCTTCTTTGTTGTTAATAGAAAAGAATAGTTTTCTTTATTTCAAGCTCAGAGCTCATAAATGGTTAGAAACAATTTTCCTTTACAACTAGTGTTAACACACACACTTTACCTGTGTATCGTGTCGTGCCATCTAGTAGATAGAAACATAACTTTTATAGAAAATTAAAAAGCACTTTCAAGGTAATTTGAACTATAATACTCTATTATATAACATAAATTTGCATATACTGTGTTGTTTACACGCACATTATAACAAATCAAAACGGACAGTGTAATCTAAGTTTGTGATCTGTTCGTGACTCTGCGACCCTGGTACTGACGGCGGCAGGTTAACCTACTCTTGCTAAATTTCTTTAGTACATTTTTGACTTTATCACTTTGTAAATAAGGTTGCAAATAAGTTGAATAAAATTAATAGATTGGGGTATATTGATGGGCTGTACCCACATATTCAAAGTTAGAAGGTAAGAAGTACAGACTTAAAGGTTTCATCTCATGGGAGTCTTTATTTTTAAGATAAGAAACGGAATCCAAACTCCTTGGTTTTGGGTTTTCTTTTTTAACTTTGATTGGAGATACGATTGGGCTGTGTTTATTTTCTTTTCATTTCCTACTATGAAATTATCTAATGATAAATAAATAGTTTGAAGGTTAACGCTCTGACTATAGTTAGAAAATGTATGGTTAATGATGTGTGCTTGATTGGAAACCCTTAAAGTAGTTTCATTTACTTACCCAAGTTTACCCAACAAGTACTCACCTATTCAGCCTATTTTCACACGCATTCCATGGACAACACAGGTAAAAAACAATCACATTGTCTATGGAGGTAATCTAATCTACATAGACAATTCAAACAACATAGAGTATGCTACCTTTTTTCAAACAACACCATTTAAATGGACTCCAGGGATTCTAAGGATCGGAAAGGGATATGGACGTATGAAGTATAGTCATTTAAAAATACGCTCCATATTAAATTTATGTGGCGGTAACACTGAGATTCAAATTATACGCTGCATTATAATTCTATTTTTGAATGTGAATAGGACGCTAGTAATTTGTTTTTTATGTAGTCAGATATTTATTTAATTAAAATCTTATTAAACAAAACCTACTTGATGATATTCAAATAAAAGTAATAAATAATAATATCATTTTAAAAAAGATTATATCATAAATAAAGAATATATTAAGAAAAAATAAATTATTATGTTTTCGGCTTACTCACGTAATAATCGAGTTCCTCGTCAAATCATTACGTGAGTAAGCCGACAACATAATAATGAATTTAGTATGTCTCACGAAAGTTACAATACAAATATTATAATATTAAGAAATTCAGATTGTCGTCATTGAAATATTTTTGAGCAAAATCTGTTCATTTCATATTAAGTTTTTCAAGAAAGAAGCGAATTTCCAGTGCCATTGAAATTCTCATTTTACACTGCAGTTTTCTAAGGCTGCCGTTATATTGGATTCTTAAGAAGTCCGTTTGAAAGCTGCATTGTACAAAGTACTTTATACAGCTTTATTAAATTACCTTTTTGAGGATATGGAATGAAATATTTCTAAAATCGACATTAGTAAAATTCCCTTGTGACGTTTAGATAGTGATCCCGTCATTAAGCGCAAGTAAAGTAAATTTATTTAATATACCTCTAATGGATGTATCATATTTGACACTTACTTTTACCTCTATAAAAATGAACATAGATCCCTATTTTTTTAAAACCCCTTTCAGTTAGCATATCTTTTTTGTTTGTGACTCAACATTTTATATATACATATCAATACACAATATACATTATGATAAGGAATTACAACAAAAACATATAGTCGGGCTTTTACGAAACTACATAATTGGAACACACATAATATACGTGGGTATTGGGTACTAGACCTACGTCTAATTCTGAATTCAGTACCATTGCTTGCTTTACTTGCAAGTTTAACAAAGGAATACACAAGGACGGGGAAATGGGGCACAAATGACATCCACTAAGTGTAATACAGTACAGAAAATTAATTTATTAAACGTATTATCTTACAAAAAATCATTATTTAATAAATAAATAATTATAAAAAATTATTTGACATGTTCGAAATGGATGTGTTCAATCGACAAGTACACAGATAACAAATGGAGGAACTTGTTGGTAGATACCTACAGGGTGATTGCGTCCGTAGTGCACGGACGGACCTTGGAAGGTAGGTATATCACAATGTGCTGATAGTTAATAACAATTGTCAATTGACTTAGAGTACAGGTCTTACAGTAGGTGGGGGTGAGTTACAGTTCATGCCTCAACCTCTTCCTCTTTTACCTTCTGATCTCCTGGCTTGCCCTTGGACCAGTCTGGTTTTTTCTGTGAACACAAAAATAAATCTGTTAAATAATATGTTCCCTTCTTAAATCACTTGGAAGCCGATAGCGCATCGCGGCTATATTCCTAAATACGCCTGCGATACAATAGAAGCAGGTCTCGTAAAATATATACAGATGCTGCTGTAATAATACCAAGGCAATGTGTGAAGCTATTTTTATTTTCAATGACAATTTTCGCTTTTTCAAATAAAATTCACACGGTTCTTGGTATAAGCTTTCGATTGTGCTCGTTTATCGGCAGACTCACCGCACCATACGCCGAATGTACGAGCGATAAATTGGTATCACGCTTCATAACGGCATATAGTATGGTGTAACAATAGGTTCGCGAATTGCAGGCGTACCTACTATTCGCAAATTGTAATTGTATAAAGCACACACTTTAAAGCTTCGAAGGTATAACACATCTAAGAAAACATTGCTATAAAAACCGAAGCGTTTTGTGGAGCAACCTAAAATAACCGCTTTATACAGGTGTGGGGTGTCTGCACTGTGGAACGCATGTTGGTATCACACAAAGCTTTATACAATAAATCTGCTAAGGGGCCAAAATGCAGCGTAATCGCAACTGTCCTCATTATTTCTCCTTCAGACAAACTAAATCAATAAGGAGAACTAACGAGAGACAAACTTCAATAACACGCCCTTGAACACAGGTGGACGGATGAAATATACAATACGAATTGATGCCAATCGTTAATGTGTTTGAATTGGCAAAGATCTTCAGCTTCAGTGAAAAAATAAACTAGGTAATTGTAGCCACTCTAACGGTACATCTCATAGCTGTGCTGAAAATATAACATGCCGCGTGTATGAGCAGCGTCTAAATTAAAACGTGTCTGTACGCGTTGTCGCTTTACTTTCTATTTACCTTGGCTGCAGCGCCACCCTGTGAAACATCGCATCATGATATTGTAACAATATTATTTTCGTTTCTATTCTACTTTGATTACCTCTATATGGACCAAGTATTATCTAATTTTATTAACCGCTAGCCCTTCATTACGTTCCAATGAAATTTTTCTCTAAGTATTAGTTTTTAATTTGTGAAAAATTGCTATACTTTTATAGATATTGGAAGTTTGAGAGGTGTACGTACCGGTTAGAGTACAATGGTTGGGTATGTTAACGTTATGTAGGAATAATGCCAGTGTCTAAGATGTCATGAGTGTAAGTGTAGATAGTGTTGACAATTAATTGAAGATCTTGTACACAAATTACACAAAATTTTAAAAGACCTACTTGCAGATTTATGTGAAAGAGTTAGTCACTAAAGAAATTGAAGATAAAGCTTTTGGTATTTAATTTAGATTCCTACAACAGAGGAGCGGCGAAGCTTTGCAGGGAGTACCGGAATAAAGAGATAAACTCTTTATAGTTAAAATGTAGAGCGTAAGCTGTGGTCGGGGAGAAATTAAATTAAAATGTTAATAACAAGATTGCAAGTCACATCTAAACAAAAGTTGAAGCTGTATTTAACGCGTCATCCAAACTCTTTCTCACCTTGTTTTGTCAGGTTTGGATGTTTTACGGAATTCAAAAGATTTATCGTAGAAAAGAATGATTTATTTTATATTAAATTAATGGGTAATTAAAAAATAAGTCATCATTTGTTCAACAGCAGAGAATGATTGTAAGAAATTGACTGTTAGTTTTAGTACATGGTCTACTTCTTTCCAATAGCCCAATCAGCTTTCTCCGCTTTCTTGGCCTGTAGAAGATGATTAGGTCAATGATGCTAGTTATTATACATCACATCTACTAAAATTAAAGCATTTAAGATACTCAGATAGTACTGGGACTCGAACCCATGAACAAGATGTAGTAGAAGCAACTCAAAACGATGAAGTTAATGAATTAAAGAAAATTGAAATAGAAAATTATTGAAGAAGAATTACTGAAGTTTAGTTCAAAGATAAAAAGAGAGTAAAAGACGAAGAAAGTAGTGAAGCCAATAAACTACGAGTAATAGATTGTTAGAGAGAACGATTGATATCTTTTTATCATCGTAATTTGAGAAAAAATGCTATATCAAAAATTACATAATATAGCGAAAGATTGTATCAAGTGTAGAAAGAATTCGTGTTTAGTTGTCATTTGTAGGTAAATCAGGCTTACTAGATCAGTTCTATATTTTTTGAATACGTATTTTCTAAAAAGGTTATTTCATTTCAGAATTTCAGTAGCAATAGTTTTAGTTTCTTCTTCCACATATACATCAGCCTCTACGGCTTTAACTACCTCGTTATTATAATCAAACCCATCTACAATATTAGCTATGAAATACAAAAGTACAATAAGTTCTTTGTCATTATAATGGTCATCTAAATTACCAAGATTATCTTCTAGAAGTATGTAAATATATATAATACTGTCAATTACCTCTTTGTCTTCTTCTTCAAGGGTGAATTCCTTCTTTTTGACGACCTTCAACTGGTTACGGAAGTTGAACTCGGCCGCCTTTTTCTGGAGCTTGGCGAATTTGTTCTCGTATTTGGACACCTTCTTTAGTGTGGGTTTGACGCTGGAGTAAAATAATTTATATTAATATTTTTATTTTCACAATTTTATCAGTGTTATTTGTAAGGTCGTTTGCTTATTGTTTAATTAGAACATCTATGGCATTATGTTTATGGATTAAATTTGAAATCACAAGTTTATCTCATAAAACTGCTTGGTTATCAACTTTATACCTAGTGAGTTAGAATTTATGACCCAAAGTCCTTTGTATTTGAGAAATGTGTTCATATTTAATAGCATGGTGTTATACAATGTGAGCGTAACAAAGAGAATCGCGGTGGCTCTCGTTTCATGCTCTCTAAATATTGTCCAGCGTCTGAACATATGTATATATAAGTTATCATACATGAACTAATATAGATTAAAAAATTGTAAATGGATGTAGTTTTATGACTATTTAAAAAATTGCACATAACCAAAGGAAAGATCGAAGTTGGTGATCAAAATTATCAATTAGTTAATAAATGTAAATGAAGAAAAAGAAGGAAGTAGTACTCACAATTTGCCTCTAAGGTCGTTGACTTGAGAGTTCAGGTCCGAGATCTGTTAAAATAAACATAGTCTTATACTCCGATCCAATATAAATGGCCAAGTTAATAAAATAAAAGCAAATATAGAAAAATCGTAAGGAAATGTTATTCTGACTACAAAACCTTAATATAAATGCTTGAATTTTCATTCCAGGTAAGGGAAGGATTCGAACCAAATACATTAGTCGTATTGTAATGAAAATAAATATGATAGAGTAAATAAGAATACAATTAAATAGATAGACAGAGCATATTACAAATGTATATAAGTATGTAGGATACGAACTGACTATTACAAAGCAACAATGCCGACTACTAGTGAAATAATTTAATCAAATCATTTCACAAGTTTGTGTCACAAGCACAGTAATAACAAATGTGTGTACATTAATCAATTAAGTATTGACGCACTCCAAACATAAGGTTCAAAGTTGTGCAACGTCTTATTCAATCATGCAACGCACATAGAAAATTAGACTTGTCTTGTTGAAGCTCAAACTCTCAAAATTCCCAAAAAATCAACAATCAAAACATAGATTAAATGAAAAAGAAATCGAAATATTAATACTAGAAAAGCACAGAACAAGATATAGAGCTGAGCAAGATTAGGCAGTGTTATTTGCGAGCTGAAGTATTGTCTTAAATTCTGTGGTCTGTAGGAACATATTTCTTGTATCCCGGCTGTGACCTCCTATATATCTTAAACCTGTGCTCTTTACCTAGACAATACACTAGTGAACGTGGGCTATACTAGGTACATCTGACAATATTCGTGCAAGAGATCTACTTATCGTGCCTCGTGATTGGTAGCTGGCCGCCTGCAGCTCCTGTGCCTCAACAACTAGATTTATTCACAAATGTACATAGACATGTGCAGAATATAATACATGTGCAACATATAACACGGGCGCTAACAATATTGTACTGCTTCGGCCGCGATCAGATCGTGCGTCGCGCGTCGTCTAGAGTCAACAGTGCTTCTACTAGTCTAGTCAGTGATCGAAGTTGTAACATATTGAGCGCTTGTCGTGATGCGAGTTAATTATATATATATATGTATGTTGCGATGGAATCAATTCTGTATACATCGGCGATGTATGAGTACCACGTTGCAGATAATGTGTATCATGGAGTGACGGTGCAAAATCGATCCAGACTTGCAAATGTGGGTATGTATGTAGATACAGATGTGGGTACTGTGTGTCTTTGGACTCGCAAGTGAGCATAGTATACCACTCCGTGTCCCGGATAGTGATGCAAACGTTCCGAGCGGCCGATACGCTCGGCTCGGGCGCAGGGAGGGGGCGGGCAACATCGACCAGAGCATGGCACTTTCAATTTAACACTCGGTGTATACAGGTATTGCAAAAGGTTTGTGGGGTAGTTCAGCAACCGAACACGCAAACATGTCGCGCGAAATATTACGGCACATACGTGAAAAGTTGGAGATTTGGAACAAGAAGTTTCACTTACACTATGCACTTGCGTGTGCCAATAGAGGAACCAGTCCAGCGTTCCAATTACACCTCAACGGTATCATTGTTATCATAAAAAGAGAAAATTCAGTAAGGCCTCTAAGCTCGCCACCACACATGAAGCGACACACTGGCGGATGCAGCTAGTATCATTTTATTATGCTTGATTATGTAGGTACTTGAACACTTTTAAATTATTATTATCAAAGTGCCATACTATTTTAGATATGATTTAATAGGGTATTTTAGGGATATTTGTTATAATATAATTATAATATTATATATAGTTGTCATGCAACAGGCAGAAGCTTTAGCTGGTAAGCGGTTTGGTGACGAGATGATTTCAGTAAGGATGAAGATGAGAAGCACATCGACAGATGACCGACACGAAACATCAATATATTATATAGACGATACATATAGACATAGAGTTTGTCAGGACAGACGTAGACGTGACCGCGGTACTGAGCCGAGTACAGATACATAAAACAAGTAATACATAGAGGTGATAGTTACGCGGGCATGCAGCGGCGAGGCGCCGGGCCCTGCGCCAGTAGTGAGTGCAGTGTTACTGTTACGCCGGTGGCGGTTACTGTAGTTAGTGTAGTTAATGGTGTAAGCTCCATGTCAGATGACGCGATCGGCGGAGATCGATTTTGCACCGCACGCCTGCCATGGGCGGGGCGAGTGCGCCCGCGCAGCCCCGCGCTTCCCTCCCCACTACGACACATCACACGCGCTCTACAAGTACACCACTAACGAACCGGCCTTCCACCGTTATTTACAACTCAACAACAAACAACCGAACACTTACAAAGCGTTATCAATGTATAAACACGAACTGTCACACGCGCACGTTTGTTACAGAATCGATGACTGTGATATTCACAATGGTTATAAAGTATTGGTCAATACCTCATAATCTCTTTTCCTGACTTCATGTTCCAAATCCCACTTCTGGCCCTCACACACATACATGCGGTCATAATACTCCTGTATTATTCTCTTGAGCATTGCTATAGAAAAAGGAAAGACATATTATTGAGCCAGCAGAATGAGCATGGGCATCGGTGTGAGTGACCTGACGACGTGGAGCGACGTGTGCATGTGTGCGGTGAGCCGTACAACTATCATGTCATGTCGTAACAACTAAATCAGAATCAACTCATATCATGTCATATGCATTCCCAATTCCTAATTTATGTAGTTTACCTCCATTTTCCTAATTTCGATCGCTCGTTCTAGTTCATATTTATCCCCCTCAAGGTTGTATATTCTGTGCCAGTACATTTGACAAATGGTCTGGAGTTCCGCTAAAGAAAAACAATCACATTTTAAGTTTTGAATAATTTTCGTCGCTTCGAAGTCTGTCTCACGTATCTGTGTTGATGCTGTGTAGTGGACTCAACATGGGGACCTTCGACTAGTGGAATCAAAGCGTAAGCGAAGCTACATGATCAGTATTGAGGTGGGTATCAAATGGACTATTACTGAAACATAATCAATGTTGTTATTGACTCAAAACTCGATGAGAGTATCTACAGAATCTATTGCAGCTTCGGAATGTGCTACAACGGGTCGTTGTTATTTCAGCGTTTTTTAATTTACTTTGTTATCCACACGGTTAAGGTTGAAAGGTATAATTTATTTTCAGCTCCGTAAATCGACAATTATGATATTGCTGCGAAAACAAAACAATATTTAAATCTAGTCACATTATCGGCATGAACTACTCAAACGAGAGCGTAATATAAATTGCGTGGCTCCCAAACCAGGTCAGACCTCGAGCGCTCGGCGGGCGACCTCCATCTCGTGATCGTACTTCTCCTCTTCTAGCTTGATGATACGCTGATGGTAACCGGTTATGATGCTCGTGAGAGCCGCTACAACATCAACCAAGAGTTACTCGCGCTGTTCGCAACTGTACCGAGGGTTGTACGCGGCTGTACACCCGCACTCCGCGCCCACCGCCGGGGTGGCGTCCGCGCCATCGACCATCAGTTAGCCAAGTGTAAGTGGAAGAAATTTAAAGACGGAAATATAGAAGGTAGTGAGTATACGCAGATCAGATCAACGATATCAAATGAAGTTTAGAAGAAGTAGAGAAACGCGTTAGACAGATAGGCCTGAGATTGACGGCCGACACACCGTTAAAGTCTTTGTTAAACCAGCTGACGAAGTAAGAACAACACGCCACTTGACATATCACAAGTTACGTTAATCATTTTAATATGAAGTAAAGTGTTTGTAAGTTTTGTAAGTCGACACAAGAGAGCTGCTCGTTGACAGCAGCTCATCTCTCTACCTCCATATCTTTTCTTTTAACGATGTATTCCAGATCGAACTTCTCATCTTCGAGCTGTCCGATGCGGGTGTGGTATTCTTTGCAAACCCTCACAAGCGCATCTATAATTCGACATAATACATGTACAAATGTAGCTTATGGTGGAGCCCTATGTGAGAGAAACACGAACATGAACACGGTCGTGTTGTGAAGTGTGTGATGGTATATTCTATGGGTTCTTTACATATGTCCACTTGTTGGCTATAAGATAACATGTGAAGAATGTTTTAATACTAGAATATGGGTGTCAAAGATGTAGCGGGGGTTGAACAGGTATTTACCTTCGTTTGCATCTTCAACGTTCTTGGGTTTACCGCACCTCTCCTCAATGATGCGCCTCCTCTCGGCCGCTTTGCGTTCCTGCTCCTTTTTCAGTTCCTCAGCGGCTTTCTTACGCAGCAGCAACTGTAGGATGGTTGGAGTAGGGACTGAGTATACTGATTCTGCTATTTTGGAAAAAGATGGTTTCAGTGTAATGATTACTTACCCTGAGCTTCTTCTTCCTCTCAGGTGTCATGAAACCCTTCTTCGCCTTCTTGGCTTTGGAGGCCTCCTCCATACGCTTGCGCACCTCAGCACGCTTGCGGTCGATCTCGGCCTGTTTGGCCTTCTTCGCCTGGAGACAGTGGACATTGGTAACCAGTGTACTTACAACTCACCTAAATTTTAGTGTTTCTGCGTGTAAATAGAATTTTATTTGTGTTTGAATAATGTTTGAGATCATTGTAAGGATGTGTTTGTATCTATGGGCGTCTATATGTATGCATGTACCTACATTTGGTGTATGTATGTAGATGTAGGTGTTTATCTAGACTTGAATCTATTTGTATGTATATTGTACCTATTGTGTATGCGTTTGAGATATTTGAGGAATTGTATGTATGTGTTGGGTCTTATTTGTGTGTTTCTGAAAAAGTATAAAGTTTTTCTTTTTGCGTCTATCTGTAAGTATCTATGTGTGTGTGTGTGTGTGTGTGTGTGTATGTGTGTATCTATAGGTATCTGTGTGTATGTGTGTGTTAAATCAAAGTGAAAAGTGTACGTATGGTGTGCAAATCGTCCATAGACGATTGATCCGTCATTACTTTACCTCCTCGAGACGCTTTTTCTGTAAAAGAAAAAAATATATATTAGTTACACAGTAACGAGCTGAATAAATTGCTTGAGTTACAGCGTTGTCTGCAATTACTAGCACAATGTATGGTGCAAATTGGGATAAAGATCTAGACTTTTTACAAAACTCAGAGAAGAATATCTTCTAAGTTGATTACCAAAGAATTAAATTTACTTTGTCAATCCAAAATCACTGATTTGTTCATTGTGCTAATAATTTAATGAAACATTCAATTACAGTACACTGCTAGCAAAACTACTATTCTACTTTTGAATTAACTTTTTAAAGAATTTCCGTGTTTTTGCTTCCTAGTGCAGTATATGGTAATGGAATGAAATCTGGCCTGTTATTTTTGTGCAAATACAATCAAAATGTGCAGTTTGAGTAGTGAGGTAGTGCGGGCTCAGTAATGAGTTACATAGTCGTTATTAACGGCTTGGCTCATCATTATTTTTTAAATATTAAGTGTGTATAGTTATACCTCATTGAAGCTTTAAAGGATTTTTTGGTAAAGCTAGTGGTTTTTTTTTTATTGCTCCACATTATTGCGACAATGTTTTCAACTGGCCAGTTACATTTTTCTGCCATTTTTTCTTTAGTGTTCAGCAAAGTTTTTTTTTTAATTAGAGGAGCAACAAAAGAATTCTTTATATAAATAGTGTTCTTTTTTCAAACGGTAAGCGGTTGTGTGTTTTAATGAGTAAGCTGGTTACATTTTTTAGAGTTGAAGAATTTTTTTTTCTTTTATAATTAAAAGTGTTTGTAAAAGCTAAGTGCGTAGTAAAAAATAGTGCTTGAAACTAAAAAAAACAAAGTTTATTTGGTGCTATTTCTAAGAATTGTGCGTTAAAACATGTAGACAAATTATAGTAAAGCTAATTGTTACTATTTATTAAAATATTATCTTTTGCGTAATTAGTTACATAGAGTCGACATAATTATCATATTTATTTCATCGACTTACAAAATCTTTGTATAATTATATACCTATAGCTGTAACAAATACTGTAAAATAAGATGATAAACAAAGTGAAATAATTAGACATATTGACAAGTATTTTAACATGTCTCCTGTCATACATTTTTAAAGTATTCCATAATCTGTCAAAATTTTACAAATGTTTTTTTTTATTTATTGAGCCAATTGGGAGTGAATTGTGTGTGACGTGTACATAATATTCAGTAATGATGAATATTATAGGAATGTCTGTATATGTGTTGTGTGTCTTTATGTCATTATGCTGTTAGAAAAGCTCAAACAATTACCTGAGTCTCGAGGAGACATAGCGTTCAATACTATGAGTTGAATAGAGAGCCGCATCAATTTTTGAAGGTCGCAGAACAATCCCAGGGCACACGGAAAGTAACAATGAAACAGAAGAAAAATACACGAAATATGTTAGGTTACAATCCTAGAAAAAACATATTAATTTTCGTACTCAAACGTTAATTAGATTTTAGCGACGTAAAACTAGCAAAGGTATAAGAAACTTTATCTTTTCATATTCATTTTTAAAAGAAAAAATGTGTGCATCAAAACCATAGTAGATTCGATTCGAAATATGAATCATCTTAGATTGGCTTGATCTGAAAAGTGATTCTACTTTTGAATTCAATATTTTTTTTTTATGTAAAGGAAGGAGTTTGTATTCCAAGTTATCAAGATTTTGTGTAGAGTTTAAAAATCGTTTGTTCCAAGAATATTTTGAGGATTTTGCCCGATTCTGTGTTCAAAGACTTACCTTACTTCATCATCTGCCATTGTGATTGTTTTGTTGGTCTAGGAGTCCTGGAAAGAAAAGATATCCATCATTATTTTTTTTTTTGAAGCAGTGCTATATCAATTAATTGGTCGAATTATTATCATTCATATCTAGCTAGTCTGTGTTATTAAAAGAAAATATTTATAAAATATTTATCATATTATTGAGCAAGGACAAAATCTGTAATTAACTAACTATCCGATGATATTGGCAAAGGACTCACAAATTAACAGTTAATTAGTTTATTTTGTCTTTGGCATTTAGTACTAATACCTACTAGTGTATCAAGGTACAATATAATGTTAATTTGTCATCAGTACAACAAAATACTTAGTAAATGATAATAAATAATACGTATTTGGCCATAGTCGTGAGAAACAAGATCGTTATTTGAAACTATTTGGGCTGCAGCCAAGACGTCGACGTGTAAATACCGACATTTGATACTTGAAATCCGGCTTCCCACCCAACATTTTCCTATTTTCACTACACTATATGGAGATAACAATTTATTGCATTTCCTAAGAATTTGTAGTGTTTAAATACGTACTAAATATATTTAATGGACAAACGCCTTACTTAGTTCAAGTTCGCTTCCGAAAAACTTAAAAAAAAAACCTAAAATTAGATCATGAAAATGGTTACGATGAAGATCGTAAAAGAATCTGTGTAATAACTGTTGCCAACGTAATGAAAATTCCACAATTAGGTTCGGGCGCGCTCGTGTATAGTCGGCTAAGTTCGGGTGGTGCGCGGGCGACTGAAATAGGTTGGCTCGCATACACCGCATCCTAATTTGGTTGCGCGAACGTTCAGCTTTGCTTACTCGGGTTTCGGCCGTTATGCAAAACAGACTGATGTTTGTGACGTTGCACGTAAACTGATATTCTTTGATCTCATATAATAAACAATAATTACTCAATCTGTTTGAGTAAAGAAAAACTGTTTGTAACCGAAAGTAACGTAAAGGACGTTGCGATGCGATGCGATTATTTTTTATCTAAGTTTTCTTTCAATCACGAAAAGATTTTTTGTTCTGAATATCAATAAAGAAAAAATTATAAGTAGTTAATGTAAATATGTAATTTATAATTGAAATGTTATCCAATCATAAAAATATTGTATGTCATGATATTTGTTTCAGTATGCAACGGATATCCTATCACCGACGACATGACCCAGGAAATGAAAAACCAACTGTCCATGAATAAGGGTGCACGCTACACTCATTACTCATATCAATGTCTATGTCAAGCACGTTCAGTAAACGATGACGACACTTAACATCCTTATCATTGACGTCATAACAGAACTTAGAACATTCGATATCAAATATTACAGACGGTCACTTATGAGGGCGACATATTGATACACGGAAATCTTGTCGGTCCACACACTCGATCTCGAGAACGATGCATCACGCTGCAGTGTTCCGATTTACCACGACGTTGATATATCACTTCACTGACCGTTAAATTCACTTCATTTATCTTCCGTCAGATTATCGTTTTGTTAGTAAAAATATTTAAACTTTCACTAAAACTCACCTAAGGCAAAGAAAAAGAGGATGGCCCTATAGATGGTTCAGCCAACACGAGCCACAGCTGCTGACTGGTGCGAGGCGGGCGGCAAGGTGCGGTGGGCAGCGCGTAGGCGCACCACCCCGCCCCCCGCGCCCCGCCGCCCCAAGCTCCTGCAAACTCTGCGCCCGCTCACCAGCACACGCCTTCAGTCCAGACATTTTTAGAGCAGTGTCGTTTTGACACCAACACCGAAATAACATCAGATGTAAGCTCCAGTTTGAACTACTCGGATGCCTCGTAAATATCTGACCGACTGATGCCATGTGCGTTTTCACGAACAGTTTTCACCGACATTGTGATATCGAAGTTATGATTAAAACAACCTGTCTTACGAGCTTTTTCGTACACTGAATTTATTCTATAAAAAGAATGAAAGATAATCGAAAGAGCGGCTACAGGCTTGCTATACTGTTTTCCGATAAAGTCATAAAGTAAAGAATTGAAAGCTCTATTCTACGTTACATAAAGTGACTTTAATTTTATTTTGTGCTCCACATACGGCGCGGTGGAATGTCTCGCTTCGTTTAAAAGTGTACACAGCAATTATTTCATTGATAACTTGTATTTTTCATCCACGAACGCAATTAAAGAAACATAAATATAATGAGCACGTAAATGTAAGCAAGTAAATGATATCAATTTAGATAATTTTCTCAATTATATGTATGTTAGTTGGAACTTGTGAGATTTCGAACACATCCAACTGGGTAAGTGGGTGACATTCCAACATCTAAAGTGTATGCTAATGAACTGTAAGAGTAGCAACCAGAATAATCTAGCAAAAACCAGGAAAATCAAACTAATTAGTTTGTTAATTACGTTTGTTTTGAATTAATTATAGATACGTTGATAATTGTATGTCTGTCATCTCCGTCGATAAGTCTTTGGCACTTCTTGGATGCACGTGGCGCCAACAATCAATCGGCAATTGTCAATTCATTGCACAAGACTTCAAACAAAACATTGAGTTTCCTTATTAAAAAGATGGCTTTAACGTCATCATCAAATACCCCTAGCAGTCTGCATAAATGAGTATTCCAAAATCTTCATGTTTCGCACGTGGTGGAGATCTTTACGTTTAACTTACAGTTTAGGTTTATCGCAGTTTAATAACCTCACCTTATCAAGGAGGTGCTTTACACATATCGAAACTCCTTACTATCAAAACACTTTCATTTACGGAAAGTATTTTTTTTTTAATTAAAAATGTACAGAGGTGCTAATAAGCCCTTAGTGCGAGTACGTAATAGAAATTCAAATAACGCTATTCCAGTAAAGTTTATACTCAACGAACAACGCACCAATTAAAACTAGACTGAATTTCACACTGTAGCCTGGATTGGAAAGTGCTCAGTTAGCCGCCCCTAACAAACTCGACACTACTGCTGTAATTATTGAAGTATAGGAGTAAACTTTAAGTGTCTGTTATTTAAAGGATCAAATATTATACAGGAAAATTATTTGCTGTGTGTACGTGAACCACATCTTCCCAAAAAAACATCAGTTCATTAAAAACCAAAATGATACCTATGTTTTTTTCATACGATCCCTTTCTTTACGGTATCTATATTTATAAAAATGAATATCCTTTCGTTAGTCACGCTAAGACTCTAGAACGGCTGAACTGATTTGGCTAATTTTGGTCCTGAATGACTTATGGAAGTCCAGGGTAGGTTTAAAAGGTGAGAAAAAAATTAGAAGCGGTACGAAGTTTGCCGGGTTAGCTTGGAAAAAATTAATATCCGAGTACATAATATGTATATATTTTTTCATTACAAAAGGACAGAATTTCTTAAATAGGTACATACATATAACAACACACATTACAAATATAAATAATATAATATATAGATTGTTTTACAAGGTATATAAAGTCCAGCTACATCAAGATCTCATATTAATGTATCAACAATATTGACCTGAATTAAAAATAGAACGAACAACGAAGGAATGAGGTCGTCAACTAGTGTTTTCAACTTCTCTATATAAGAAAAACAATAGGAGAATTGCCTAGAACATGAATCAAAATCAAAAGCTTTACAACAAAGATTTGTAAATATATGTCATAGATTTAAAAATCAACATAGACAAGTACCGTACCGTATGTTTAGGTTTTTTACATTTTTGTACACTCAGCATCAAAAGTTAATGAACACATTAAAATTTTCAAAATCGCTGCATCGTATTAACTAAATCATCTCAGAACATGACAAGCGCTAGTAATAAAAAAATATCTTATGTTGCAAAAGGTGCTTGTTAAGTTCGCCGATTTAGGTATATTACAGAATTTCATAATAAATGTGAATGTGTTCATAAATTTTTGATGCTGATCGTATGTGTCTATAAGTCAGATGAAGATTTCTTTTTGTTACTTATGTAGGTGCATAGTAACAACCATAATATTCAGCAGACTAATATTATAGTAGTAAGTATTAACATAAAATCACAATACTCATTTAAAATCATCAGGAGAGGGCTAATAAAACAAGTATATAAAAATAAATAACAAATAGAGAACGCCTTGAGATGTCGTCGCTGTTGTAAACACAGACATGTATTAATATAAAATGTACATGCAATGTTCTGTCCGTACATCCGATATTGGTTCGCTGGCGTAAACAACTATTGTCATCAATGTATATAGCTCTTAATATATAAGAATATGACGTCAGAAGTATTAGTTAGTAACAACAGAATTGGTTTTCAATAAAAATAAATGTTGCCCAAAAACTTCCTTGACGCGACGTCCTTGTTAAATGCGACTGACAAGTAAGAGATTTCGTTTTTAAGTCTCTGATGGATCAATGCTATACGTGGACTTGTGGAGTTTTACCACATTATTATATTTGTAAAATTCTTAATAAGTAACTGTAGTTACTGTATTCCATAATTGTTCCTGGTGAATATTAGCAGATCTCTATACCAATTTGAATTAATACACATACGGACGTCAATGGCTTTCTGAACTGCTATAATAATTTTAATAGACTCAAACTCAAGTCTATGTCAACATAGTATTGTGTCTACGCTTCAGCTACAGGTTATCCAGCGATCTGGCACAAAATTATTTAGTACAACTTGCTACCCAATATAATATTTTTTTATTACATTATAGACTACACAACGCAACGATGATCATTGAAATAAAAACTCTATGTAAAAGCATTATAAGAAATATTTTCCTCTTTCCGAAGTCAAAGTAGAAAAATTCAGTACACATTAATATTGTTATCGAAACAACACAGCCAAACCAGTGAGTTGAATGAGATAACAATATATCATTTTACGTTAAATGTTACAGGAAAGAGTAAAAATATAACATTATACCTTTTATTCGTTGCAGGTATACTTGCATGATGTTCATTTTAGATATAACCTACATAGGTTATAGTATAGGTATGTATACTTTGTAGTTTTGTCACGAATCTCTGACAGCTAGTAGGAGTGCCGTCTGCTGCTCTCCGCCTCTTTACCATGTAAAGCATAAAAGTTTATTGTACTATTAAGGATTAAAAAAAATTAAACCATGCATAACACTTTTCAGTACCTAATAATCTGGTCATGTCTGCCGCATGTCAGACAAGCAGTAGGTAAAAATTACTACTGAGTGGAGCCCACTCAACGTCAGTAGACGTCGCGGCAGGCCCAAAAGTAGATGGCGGGACGAATTAGACATCTATGACAAGGATTGGCCGTAAAAAGCTTTACATAGAATAGAGTGGAATGGAAGGAGGGTAGGGGCCTTTGCCCTGCAGCCGGACGATCATGGCTGAAAATTAAATAAAAAATAATAATCTAACCCAAGATCCTCTGCGGCACAGAATTTAAAACAATCAACAAGGTAGTTAGGGGTAAAATTAACGCAAGGTTATTTATAGAAAACAAAGAAAAAGTTTTTCTATTCAATTGCAAGACTTTTTTCTTGGTACGTACTTCTAAAACAATAAACGTTCGTTTACAACTCGACCCAATGGTTACTGCTGTACTGCTTATACCATTTTATCGATATTGTCGTAAATGAAGACATCTTACTAAACCTTACTTTTTATATACTTTTAAAGGCGTCATAACTTTTCTTTGAAGTAAATTCGAAACAAATTGTTTTGCTTCAACAGCCGGTTTGAACGTAAAATACATTTTTTTTTTGTTGAGGATAAAATTAACAGTGAAGTAATTTGCCTGAAGAACTTTAGTTTTTTCAATTTCAATACAAATATCGATATTCATCAAACTCAAACTCAAAAGCATTTATTTCAATTAAACCATAATTTGGTAGTTTTGAAACGTTAACAAATATGAAATAAATAATAGTCTGTCAGTCTGTCCGTCAGTGAAGCTAGGCGCTCGTTCCAAAATGTCGATTCGAGTGGAGAAGAACGATCATATTGTATAAAGTACGTACCACTAGACTATTATGAGTGTCCTGTGTTAAAGTTAAACATAATAACTGAAATCAATGAGCAGAATATAATAAATAATAGAACTGTTACAATACTATTTGCAAAGAGTAGTTGTAATCATTGTACCTAGGCGAATCTCTGACATTATCAATTACTCAAAGCTCTTTCCCTAAATATTCAGTAATATCAAAACTACTATCTAATAAAAACTTAAATAATATTAAAATTAACTATTACTAAATTAATAATAACATATATACAACTTAAGATTAAAATTATATAAAAGAAAAACAAAAACAACTATTTACTTACATAAAGCATCGAAAAATTCGTCCGCATCGACGTCAGTGGGAAAAGTACCCAGAAGGCTGGCAGCATTGCCACGTTGTATGGCGATGCTTAACCTCTGACCGAGAAAAAGACCAGCCCTCTGGTCACGAGATGTGTCAACCAGGCGGTTTGAAATATTTTTGAATAATTTAAGTGCACTCGGACCCCACGAACCTAGCGTCTCAACCCCAAACGGGTTTGCTAATTGCAAACATCAGTATCTAATGATGTTTGCAATTAGCGACTTTAATGTTGCACACGACATTCACTCGAGCGACATCTGCATTCTACAGGGAAACTACTCAGAATTATATCTACGATTTTAATGTTTCCTATTCA